GTTTTTTAGTTTAAAATGTTAAAAAAAAAAAAAAAAAAATGTATGAAATTTCAAATATTTCGATGTATCTTGAAAAAATGAAAAAATCCTTAATAACATTTTAATTAAGGAGAATAGCATTACTTGCGCATCGAGTTTCATATGAATCTTCATCAATGATGAAAATAAATTTTTTATATTTACGTCGTAAATCAGTTTTGCAATTATAAAATATTTATTATAAGATACTCAGAAGATATAATACGACACAAGATTGGAAAATTATAAATTTGAATTTTTTTGTTATTCTCTTTCTTTTTAATATTTAATTTAATATTTGGTAAATTATTATTTACTTAATTTTAATATTTGATAAACAATATTTATTCGTTATAAATGTAATATATAAAATAATATTAATATTATTTCAATATATATTATTATATAATTTCAATATATAAAATAATATTAATATTATTATTATATATATAAAAGCTATCATTATTTTTATTAGTTCAATTCTTAAGAAATGGAACTTCGAAGCAAGCTTCGAGCGTACTTAATGAAACGAAGTATCGAACGAAACTTGATATCGATTCTTATCGATTATTATCGATGATTATTTGCGAAACTTCACTTCACAGACAAACGTTCGAATTTGATTTCAAACTATGGACGCTAAAAATATATAAAGGACGTGAAATTCGAACTTCGTTTCATCTTTCGTCGATAATAATGTAAAGAATGACAGAAAACGAAAAACGATTGAAAGCCCCAGATATTTATAAGGTTACTGTTCCTTCCAATGCGATATTATATTCGCTTCGCTCGATTCAAGGTTAATTTATTCAGTAGTGAAGAACGAATATATTAAAATCGAATAATAAAATACAAAAAATAATTTTTAAATATTTTCGATTTCGTTTCGATGTTATATCACTATGTGAACGTACCCAACATCAATTGTAAATTAAATTCTATTTCTATCACTGTGATAAGAAAAGGCGTCTGTTTATAGTGTTGCGAATAGAGATAATATATATAATTCGAATAATAAAAGTTCTACATCCGCAAAAGATGGGATTTTTGATTAATAGCAATTAATAAATAATTAATACTCGTGTATATGTATATGTATTTTAGAAGACATCCGTAAAAATGTTTAAATCGATTTGGTGTGGTACTCTTGGAGAATAAGGTTAGAAAGGGATAGAAACTTTATAATTAAGTACTCCAGCCACCGGAAATTGGAGGAAAATGAAAAGACATGGCTTCCTCTTTCTTCGATATTAGTCATCCTTACTTTTAGATTTGATAATATAGTTGGAATAGCAATTTTAGAGAATCTGACGAAATATTTTTGTCGTATATAATTCGCATTTCCACGATAGAAATAGTTTTATCACAGAAAATTTAAAAACATATATACATATAGAAAAGTATATTGTATACGTATATAAAAAAGGGGATTAGAAATTTTTATTGGAAATTTGTTTTTATCGCAAACGAACATGGTTTTAGTGAGAGAAACGTTACATTTTTAAATTAAAGCGGGATTCTTTCGACGCAAAGCTGGATATTACTTTCATGCCACTGAAATTTTAGTAATCCAATTGGTAAAATTTTCCCTCAAAAGGAATTCTTTAGGCTTCTTTATTAACTGTTTAAAAACTTTTTTTACTCAGTTTCATTTCTTATTTCAATTTATATTTACTTTCTTTCTATATACAGTCGCTTTTAAAAATATTTAAACATTGGTGTAATTAATTTCTCTGTTTTATATCTAGAATAAATAAAACAATAATTCGTAGTATACTATCATTTAAAATTGGAAAATAATAAAAAATATATAGATATCAAAGCTTGCAGAATATTGAAAAAAACCTATATTAAAAGAAAAATGATCTCAGATTATTCAAAATTATTACATAAAATAATTATTTTTATTTTTAATTATCCCTAAACAAATTTTTGATATTGTATTTATAATTTTTCTTAATATAAAATAGTTATCAACATGAATAAATATTTATTATAAGCAATTTTCTTATAATATTTACAAACCATTTTTTATTTCATGCAGAAATATAGCTACTTATTTTATATATAAATTTTTGAAAAATGCATTACGATGTTTGATTTTAATCTATAAATTATTTATTCTGATTAAAAATGGTTTAAACGAGAATTACATGGTTTTGAAAAAATCATAATTTGATATTTATTAATTATTCTGTAAATAAAGATATAAAGATCACATGAAAATGATACATACATTTTTTTAAATAAAATGGATGTAATCATATAATATTTAATATTACATTTATATTATTTAATAAAAAGATAATGATCTATATTTTTATTGCACAAAATAATAAAAAATCTGTTCAATAAATCACTTGTTTTTTATCAACATCTAGTTTAAATGCGATGTGAAATTTTTTTTTAAATTAAATTAAATAAATAAATTATATTTCTTTCTAGTTTATTTTTTTTTTTTTACGTATAATGAATTCAAAAACTCTTAAAAATAGATATATCTTCATATTGTAATCCTTAATCCTTTTAATCTATATTGAAAAAAAAAAACTCATAAAATCTTGCGAATTCTTTTGGCACTGAATATTATTCCTACCAATGGCTATACAACTTCTTTCAAATTTTTATTTTATTTTTAAAAATAATCAAAATTTCTATTAATAATATAATTTCAATTTTAAATGTGAGCTTGAAATAAAACAATCGTTGAATATCGAAAATAGGTCAAGTTAAAAATCGAGTGTTTATGCGCCAAGTATCCAATCTATGCGTGATCGATGAGTTTGGTCCCAAATCTCTTCCTTCCTATATTTATATTTCCTTTATGCAAATCGTTTTTTGGAAATTTTGCTTTTCTACGTGAGAAAATTTCATCCATTTTTACATAAGAGTATCATGAAATTTATTAAAATTCTTTTCGCAAATTTGTTTTTCTGTGTAAAAAGTTTAAGACGAGAAGTCTTAACGAAAGAGCATTATAAAATATCAAGTCTTTCTTTTATGAAGAATGAATATTTCCTCAATTTTTTTCTTAAATCATTTTTTCGATCCAATATTTATAATTATATTTCTTATTAATTAAGAAATAAAATTTCGTTAGAGGAATATCTTTATCCTTTTTTTGTCGAACTCGACGGTTTTTATCGTGCTATGTACGAGGTAAAAATCTTCGGAATTTCTTGGAAATTTTCTCCTCGCTTTTTCTCGCTAGCTCATAGGTGGTATATTAAGGCTTTCATTAGAAGCTTCGAGATAAGCCGCATAGAATCCATATAATCGAAAGTAATTAACTTTTTATTCGGAAAAAATGATAAAAATGAAGATAACGAGTATTCTCTACGGAAATCATAGTAAGCCGATAAGTAGAATTTTCATGAAATTTGTAAAAAAAGGATTATGTTAATTTATACACAGTATTCGAATAACAAGAAATTCGTTAAATATCATGGAACACGTTTCACCATTATTTTATAATGGTCAAATAGTGCGAAATATTTTCATAATTACAGCAGTGGTCAGGAATTTGCAGGAATGGCTTACATGGCCATGAGCTTTTTATTCTCGCCAATTCTTGGAATTGCTAAGTAACTCGAGACAGACCTTGGTGTTATCGGTAACGAAGTGAATTAACTGGTATTAAATTACCGAAATAGAAGAAAAATATAATTCTTTTTTTTTATATTTTTTTATAATATTATTACATAATATTGATCAAATTATTGAGATTCGTATAGTAATATCAATGATTACAAAAGTGATAAATGTTATTTAGATTAACTTTTGTAATAATTTCAATTATTAAGAAACATATGCTGATTATACAGTTTATTGAAGTTTCATTGTAGAA